TCTTAGCTGGTCAGGCTGGGAGATGACCAGCTAAAACCAGCTTGACCAGCCTAGCCAAGCTGGGAGCCCAGCCAAAACCAGCTATGTCCAGCTTAAACCAGGCTGGTCAAGCTGATTTTAGCTGGTCATCTCCCAGCCTGACCAGCTAAGACCAGGCTGGAAATGGCTGGAAACCAGCCTGGAAGTGGCCAAAACCCCTCTAAAACCAGCCTGGTCGACCAGCTAAAACCAGCTTAAACCAGCCTAGGCTGGTTTAAGCTGGATGTTTTCATAAAATCTAAAAGAAACTGCTTTATTTACCCTAACCCTAACCTAAATAAGAACTTCTCCATACTATTAATAATACAAAAATATTGGAAACGCTGCTCCATTAAACAGCTCTTGGAAAATTGTTAAAGAAGAATACATATTTTTCAGGGAGGAGGGCTGATAGTTTTGACTTAAACTATTTATTGCCTCTCAATCTTCTCAGGATTTCAGTTTAACACTAAATTTTAAATATGAGTGCAACAAAATTTACATTTTGTCGATTTATATATTTCTTCCACAGTAAAAAATATCTGTAAAATAGCAGTTTTCTGTATTTTTTGATTCGCGTTTTTGTTTTCCCCCCATTTATTTCTGCTTTTCAAATTGCATTATGGGATCATAATCTTTCTTTCAACAACCTTTAACCTTGAAACGTTGGAAAAAGTGACTTTTATTAACATTTTTAATAGTTTAAAGTGATATAATGTGCGGTTCATTCTGCTGTGGCGACCCCGGATTAATAAAGAGACTAAGCCGACAATACAATGAATGAATGAATGATATATAGTCTGGGTTGGTGTTATATATTATGCTACAAAAGCCTTGTAATAAGCTCACCGTACAGTTTGTTTTTTTACACTCTTGAATCTCTAGATGTTATTTCTTAAAGATCATTTTAAACTGCTAAAATGGCAATAAAAGTCTCTTTGTTAAACTGTAGAGTTGAATTTTCAACTTCAAAATTCGACAAAGAGCATAGAATCACCTAGAGGCGACACTCTAGAGTGATTTGGGAATCAGCCACTAGATGCCGCGGCGGCCATTTTGGAATGAAAACTTCAACAGAACCACAGCATATTATAAGTCTGTAAAATAAACTATTAAAAGTGCTGATGATTGTGATAGTGAGTGTTGTATTGTCGTCTTTAAGGTTGTATCTCAGCTTTAATGCGCTTTTTAAATAAATAAAAGAAAAACAAAGCAGCTGCTTGCCATCAAGACAGCAATAAGATCCAATGGACAGCCGATCGCTTTCACTCCAAAATGGCGGAATCCGGGGCTGTTGCTGTCCTCTTTGGCAGAGATCAACATCCCATAATGCGATTCACAACCATAAATAAACATAAAACCCCTTGTGTTCATTAACAGATATTTTTTACAGTGTCTCTGATTCACAAAAAAAACCCCGTTTATATCCAAGAAACCAAAATTAGCTTGGAGTTATGAGGACACTTCTCAGCACAATGGAAATGAACTCAATGACAGAATGAATGACGTACTGTATGCAGATTAGGATAAGAGTAATAAATGTAAGTCATACAGCAGAATAAACTCTTCTGGTGAGTATTGAACAGCAGAGGTCTGACACAGCAGTTTGGAAACGTGACACTATATGCTTTTATGCTTCTGTGAGGCTCTTAATATAAAGTGCTCTCCAGCTTCTGACAGCTTCCGTTCCTCTTCCAATGCAGTGTGCTCCATATGAATGCATTATACACACTCTCATAGCAGCTTCTGCACTCTGCAAATATCTCTGAGTACTCAACTACGACATTTGTGCTTTCTTTCTTTCTTTCTTTCTTTCTTTCTTTCTTTCTTTCTTTTTTGCATCTCTTTCATTTTTTTCTTTCTTTTTGTCGTTTCTTTCTTTCTATCTTTTTATGTTTCTGTCATTCTTTGTCTTTTTCTTTCTTTTTGCCTTTCTCTTTCTTTTTCTGTCTTTCTTTCTTTCTTTTTTATTTTGCATTTCTTTCTTTTTGCCCCTTTCTTTCATTGCCATTTTTCATATTTTTTGTCTTTCTTTCTTTCTTTCTTTCTTTCTTTTTTACTTTTTGCCTTTCTCTTTCTTTTGTCTGTCTTTCTATCTTTTTTCTTTCTTTTTGTCTTTCTTTCTTTTTGCTTTTCTCTTTCTTTCTTTTCTGTCTTTTCTAATTTTATTTTGCATTTCTTTCTTTCTGTTTGCCTTTCTGCCTTTCTTTCATGGTCATTTCTTTTCATACTTTTTGTCTTTCTTGTTCTTTTGTTCTTTCTTTCTTCCTTTCGTCTTTATTTCTGTCTTTTTTGTTTGTTTTTTTGCCTTTCTCTTTTTTTCTTTTTCTGTCTTTCTTTTTTATTTTGCATTTCTTTCTTTTTGCCTTTCTTTCATGGTCATTTTTTAGTATTTTTCATACTTTTTGTCTTTCTCTTTTCGTTCTTTCTTTCTTTTTGCCTTTGTTTCTTTCTTTCTTTTCCTGTTTTTCTATCTTTTTTCTTTCTTTTTGTCTTTTCTTTCTATCTTTTTTATGTTTCTGTCATTCTTTGTCTTTCTTTTTTCTTTTTTTCTTCCTCTATATTTTGTCTGTCTTTCTTTTTTTCTTTTTGCCTTTCTTTTTGCCTTTCTCTTTCTTTTTCTTTTTTCTTTTTAATTTCTTTCTTTTTTTCTCTCTTTCTTTGTCTTTTTTTCTTATTTTTGTCTTTCTTATTCATTCTTTCTTTCTTTTTGCCTCTTTCTTTTTCTTTCTTTTTGCCTTTTTTTTCTTTCTTTTCTACTTTCTTTCTTAGTTTCTGTCTTTTTTTTATAATATATATATATATATATATATATATATATATATATATATATATATATATATATATATATATATATATATAATATTTTGTGTGAATTATTATTGTTATAAGTTTATTTTTTTTCTGAAATTGTTTTGAAAAGTGATGTCTTTTGAAAGAGGTTTATCCTGAAAAGGGTTTCTTTGTTTTTATTTCTGTCTTTCTTTCTGTTGTTCCTCATTCATTCTCTTTTCTTGTCTTCATTGCTTTCTTACTTTCTTGAATATATTATTTTGAGGTATAATAGATAAAAGTAGAATTTTGATAATTAATAATGTATCACATGGCTTCAGATGAGATGGAATGTAAAGTATTGTAGCTGACAAAACATGTTAAATTGCTTGGTAACAGTGCTATTAATGCATAGAATCATGGGAAGTTATAGGAATACTTGAATATCTATTAGTGCTGTCAAAGTTTATATTTCCAAATTATATTTTTGCTTTATATATTTTTTAATAACGGATTTATTTTATCTTTGCCATGATGACATTACATAATATTTGACTAGATATTTTAAGACACTTCTATACAGCTTAAAGTGACATTTAAGGGCTTAACTAGGTTAACCAGGCAGGTTAGGGTAATTAGGCAGGTTATTGTATAATGACGATTCGATCTGTAGACAATCGAAAAAATATATAGCTTAAAGAGGCTTATAATGTTGACCTTAAAATGGCTTTAAAAAATTAAAAACTGCTTTTATTCAAGCCGAAATAAAACAAATAAGACTTTCTCCAGAAAAAAAAAACATTATCAGACATACTGTGAAAATTTCCTTGCTCTGTTAAACATCATTTGGGAAACATTTAAAAAAGACAAAAATTAAAGGTGGGAGGGGGGGTACAGTATGTTTGTCTGTTTAAAAATATATCCATAATAAATATACACAGTACATACGTATTTATTAAGTAAATACAGTATTTTATCCAAGATTCGATTATTTTTTTACAGCACAAAATACGATTTTTTTTTCTGAAAAAAAGGTTGCAAATGTTCCAGAATAGTACTATTAATGTTATTAGTTGTCTATTAATGTTATTTGGTGATTTCTTTATTTTTAATTTTAAGCACTTGCACTTTGAATGTACAATCTGCGCTTAGACATTCTGCAAAACATCTCCTTTATGACAAAAAAAAATCTAATAAAAAATAAAAGTCTCAGAATGAAATGAGGTGTGAGTAAAGGATGATGAAGAAAAAAACCCAACCCTTTAAAGTTCCCTAATGCCTGGTCAGGCTGTAAAGGATTGCGGGCTATTACACGTTTTAATGACTTGACGAAAACGTGATTCACACGATTGAAAATTCACAAAAACACATGAGCTTGCAAAATCTCCCCGGTTCCCCGATCAGTAAATCATGCTATAAAGCCGGGCTGGGTGGAAATTGGATATGCAAAGCAATGCAGCTCTGTAGACCAGACCCCCTCCTCTCCTGCGACACACCATCAGCCACACACACACACACTGCACGGCCATTTATTCACCACAAGAAAGAGTGTTTCCCGCGGAGGAAAAAAAACAGGTCAGGGGAAGACGCATCTACACGAACCGCATGTAATAGGTGGACTATAAATGCGGATGGTTACCTTTCTCCAGGTCGGTAATCCTCTGGTGCAGTGAGGTGAGCGTGGACTCGACGCGCCCGCGCTGCTCGCTCTCGTTGCGCATGCCCGGCTTCCCCTCCTCCAGACCGTTCACCCGGGACAGGACCTGCTTCTCCAGGTCGTCGATTTTGCTCTGCAGGAGATCCTTCAAGCTGTTCGCCTGGACCGAGTTGTTATTCCGGCTAAATTGCTACGGAAGATATAAATGCGACATGTGTTTGTGAGAAATGCCATTTGCGTTTAGCTCATTCAAGCAGAGAATACTGTGTACTTTTAATTATTAAGCTTCCAAGATAGGATTTCCACAGATGTTGAAGTATGTTGGTTCCTTCAAGAATGCCTTTTGAGGGATTTCATTTCAATTCAAGTTAGATGAAGGATATAGAATAGGATGTTTACAGTATGAAGAATTTTGCCTCCCTAAAAATCTTTTTCAGAGAACGATTAAAAAAATAACAGCAGCTCCAGGATTCTCCATGGGATCATGATCAATGCCAATTAAGAAGCTTTATTTTTAAGGGTATTTTATATCAAATTATGTAGATACATGATATACTGAGGAATCAAGTAGATTATTGAGGTTGTCTACAGTAGATGAAGTACTGCATATTGGTTCCCTAAAGAATATTTCAGAAAAAAATCCCCCTAAAAATAACAGCAGCTCCAGGATTCCCCATGGGATCATGATCAATGCCAATTAAAAAGCTTTATTTTTAAGTGTATTTCATATCAAATTAAGTAGATAAATGATATATTGAAGAATCAAGTAGATAAATTAGGCTATATCCTGAGGTTTTCTACAGTAGATGAAAGAATGTATATTGGTTCCCTTAAACATCTTTCAGAAAAACATCCAAAAAAGAACAGTAGTTCCAGCATCCCGTTGGGATCATGAGCAATGCAAATGGAGAACCTTTATGTTAAGGGTATTTCATATCAAATTAAGTAGATAAATGATATATTGAGGTTTTGTACGGTAGATGAACTGTATATTGGTTTCATACAGAATCTCTCAGAGAAATATCAAAAAAAAATTGAACATAGTAGTTCCAGGTTCTCCTTGAGACCATCAATGCCGATAAAGAACCTTTATTTTTTTTAAGGGCGGAATTTAAAATTAAGTAGATAATTAATACCTATGATTTTCACAATAGAGGAAGTTTATTGGTTCCCTACAGATTATTTCACAGAATTATCAAAAAAAAAAAAAGGAATATAGTAGTTCCAGCTTCTCCATGAGACCATCAATGCCTATAAAGAACCTTTACAATTTTAAGGGAGGTCCATATTAAATTGATAATTGATACGGATGATTTTTACAGTAGAGGGAGTACTGTATATTGGTTCACTGAAGAACATCTCAGAGAACGATTCCAAAGAACACAGTAGTTCCAGGTTCTCCATCAATGCCAACAAAATATCTTTATTTTTTATAGGATTTCATTTCAAATTGAGTAGATGAAGGAGGATATATTAAAGTAGGAAGTTCACAGTATTAAGTATTTTGGTATAATCTTCTTCAGAGGAAAAAAAGAACAGTTCCAGGTTCTCTTGCCAATAAAGAACCCTTTTAAGGGGGATTTCATATCAAATTAAGAAGTATACATTTAAATAAGATTTTCGCAAAAGTATTGTGGTTCTCTAAATAATCAGAGTAGGATTCTGATAACACTTTTCTTAGTGTGAAGAACGTTTTAGAAACGGGTTTCATTATGAAGCACCTTCGGATTGGTGTTCAATAGCTGGTAGTTCCATGAGATCCAATAAAGAACATTTATTTTAAAGGGATTTCTTATGAAACCAAGTCTTTAAGTCAAACATTAATTATTTAATACACTAGTGGTTTTAAAATCGCAACAGCACAGTTTACATTGGAAAAAACCCTGCATATTAATAAATATTTAAACGGTAAAACATTAAGTTGATTTCGACCAAAAGCGACTAACTTGCTCCACACTGTGAAAGACTACATCTTGTTGTTTTATAACATATTCATTTAGATGTTCTATTTAAAACTGCGGTTTTCTGTCTGCACCGTAATGCGCACTTTAAAAGCGGCTTATGCGGCATTACTTAGCAGCGCTTTATTTAAAACGCCGTGCGACTGTTTGCTCTGAGACCGGGTAAAGTTGTGGGAACTGCGCCACCTGATAAAAACCGGTAATCCACCGCGCTCCGGGGAACCAAAAAAAACATACCTCCAGGTTTTCGAGCCTCTGCTTCAGCGATTGTAAAGTCTGCGAGAGTTGCGCCAGTGTGTCGGTCGGACCCCTCGACACATCTCCCATTGTGTTTTTGGTGCCCGTTTCCTTTCGCCGTCCGCCGCCGACCCGCGCGTCTCCCGGCTCGGACGCGCTCTGGCTCTCGCACCGCGTCAGCTTGGAGGTCAGTTCCCGGATGGTTTCTTTCTGGTTCATGATGGTCTCCTTCTGCTGGAGCACAGTCTCGCGCAGTTGCATGACCGTGCTCTTGAGATCCTCCCCGGGCACGCTGTTCTGCAGAGTGGCCGCGCATATGTCCATATCCTTGGGCACGGACGTGCAAATGAACTGGGTCTGTCCGAAGTCCTGGCTCATCCCGTCGGCCAAAAGACACGAAAGTAGCAAAAGTTTCCAGTGCATCCCTCTCGCTCCAGCCTCCATGGCGCGTGTGCTTTCGAACAGGTCTTGCAGTGTTTGAGCAGCTCTATGTCTATCTCTCTCTATCTCTCTGACAGCTTGTGCTGGTTGTAATCTGGTTGTGGTGCGCGCGCGGTTTATATAGCACGCGCGTCTGCGGCGGTGAGCTGCATCACGCGCCTGATCATGATCTCCCGCCCCTAGATATTAAAGCAAAAAAATAGAAAAAAGAAAACACACACACACACATTATAGTAAAGTCAATGAAACTAGATTTGACCCCAACAGCACGGATTTTCCGCTTTAAAGCACAATTAATTCCATGAACTCATTATGGCCTCTGCATGAAAAGGGTTATACTTTAATTTAAGTCACATTAACGTGCATTAAATAAGTACATTGTACGTATTGTGTTTATATCGTAGTGCTTGCTTTAAGGTTGGGTGAGGGATGGCTCAAGAGTGTGTAAATATAATTAAAGAAGTCAATTATAGATGCAATTACATGCAAAAAATGTAAATTATGTAAGTGCATAAATAAATATGTGAAATTCAACAGTTTAACAAAGTTATTGGAATTTTAGTCATTTAAAAGATTATAATGTATAAGAAATAATGTGTAGAGAAATAGTGTAAAATAGTAAATGTGCTGCCAGTATATTAAAAGATTTGTAGCGTAATATACAACACCAATTCAGACAATATATTACTTTACATAATTAAAATGTTCATAAAAGTCACTTTATTGAACTTATCAGGGTTAAAATTAGTTGGAAGGAAGATCAAGATCTCATATTGCAATAAACAGGGGAAAAAAAAAACATGAATCACAACGTGGAAAATTGCTATTTCTGGATATTTTTTGTACAGTAATGTGACTCAAAATAAAGTGTAACCAAAAACCTTTATTGATTACATTGTGATTTATATTTAAAAAAAAATTCATAGTTTTTTCACGTCTACACAGTGTAAAAAATGGTGCCGTAAAAAAAAAAAACGTAAATTAACAGCTGTTAAATTACAGAAATATATTGTAAAATAACAGTTGATTTACAGAAATGTTATTTAAGGAAACTTCTGTAATTTAATGTCTGTTATTTCATGATAAAATGTCTGTAAATTAACAGCCGTTATTTTACTTTTTACACTGTTTTACACTCTAAAAAAATGTACCAATTTTGTACAGTGCACTGTTAACAATTTCCACTTTACTGGCAGTATTTCGTCATCAGATTATATAGGTGGTTTATTATTGGGGGTACCAGGTGAGTAATCGGGTGGTGGTTCACATGTGGTGGCTGGTGATGTGGAGCCAAGGGTGTGACAACTCAACCCAGGCTCATTCTGAAAATGTACCTCTATATACATTTCTGGAGAGCGCCAAATACATCTCAGGATCTAAGTTTTTTCTAAGTTATTTATTTATTTATTTATTTATTTTTTCAGTTTTTGTTTTCGAGAATCCACCAAAGGCCACTGTGTATGCTTTTTGAGATCTCAGATTTCTTTCGCAAGTGCCATTCTTGCCTGCTTTTCTTGCGTAAACCCACCAGAGGCCACTGTCGACTGACTGACTGACTGACTGACTGACTGACCAATCGACTAACCCACTCTCCTCCTTCCCTAATCTAAACCAATTGTATTGACTGACCCACCCACCCACTAAACCCAACCACAATTTTCAAAAGCAATCCAGAAAAAGAAAAGCCCTCATCTGATTTTTACCACGTTTATCACATTCTCATCCTGTTATTTACTTGTTTATTTTATTTTTTGGTATGTGTTTGGTATGTGTTTTTGTCTTACCTGCTTTCTGGAACTATTCTTTGCCGGACTCGAACCTCGTCGTCACATTTAACTCTGCTCCAAGTCACAAGTCTGCTGACGTACATGGCGAGCCACTAAACAAACTTGTAACAGCAGTAACAGCCGTTAACACGTAAATAAGCGATCAGCTGATAAGTGCGAAAAGAAACAGCATCATACCGCCCCCTAGTGTTCCCATTAAAGACTAAATGCAGCCATACATAGCTCCTGCTACATAACTCGCGATCTCCAGAAACATATATAGGGCTATGTTTTCAGAATGAGCCTGTGTTGTTTTGATTTTATTATTATGGGCGGGGGGGACTTAATTGTTTTATGCTCAATCAGCTTAAAATTGTACAAACCATCAAGTTACATTAATCGATTTGCTTTGGGATGACATGAAGAGGCTGTGTTGGATCCAGCATTTTTGTGTTCCTTTGTGTTCCACAGAAAAACATAAACTCAGACAAGCTGTGAACAACTTAAGGATGAGTTATTAATGACAGTGCTTTCATTTTTGGGTGAGCCATCCCTCTTTTTTAAGGAAGCATATTTTGTTTTTATTATTCAGTCAAATTGAGTTATCGGAGCACATTATCTACTTTAACCACTAGGATAAACCACCCGTGTGTTCTCTTAGGGGAAGTTAAACATTTAAAAGAAACAAAGACTGAATAATTTAGCTCATCACAATAAGCACTGTTATTTTTTTTTTCCCAGAGAAAGCTCATTATTTATTTAGCAGTTTTGCATTAGCTGGAAAACATTCTCAGTACTAATAGAGCAAAAAAGTTTGCTTACTTCCAATGCTGGATAGATAGATAGATAGATAGACAGACAGACAGACAGACAGACAGACAGACAGACAGACAGACAGACAGACAGACAGACAGACAGACAGACGGACGGACGGATGGACGGATGGATAGATAGACAATTAGATGGATGGATGGATGGATGAATAGATAGATAGATAGATAGATAGATAGATAGATAGATAGATAGATAGATAGATAGATAGATAGATAGATAGATAGATAGATAGATAGATAGATAGATAGATAGATAGATAGATAGATAGATAGATAGATGAATAGATAGATAGATAGATAGACGGACGGACGGACGGACGGATAGATAGATAGACAATTGGATGGATGGATGAATAGATAGATAGATAGATAGATAGATAGATAGATAGATAGATAGATAGATAGATAGATAGATCGATAGATAGATAGATAGACAGATAGACAGATAGATAGACATGTAAATAAAAATGACAATGTAAATAATAGATGTAAATAAAAACAACAGTTACGGTTTCTTTACCATTAAAAATATGGTAGAAATGGTAAAAGCTGTTAAAATTTTACGGTAAACTATCATACTTCATTCATTTATTAAATAATGTGCAAAATAAAAATGGTAAATTTACACTTTATGTAGAGTTAACAATATTAAAATACTGTAAACAAAATCTTTAAGATTTACCGTTTAATAAACAGTAGCTGTGGGTGTTTTACAGTTAAATATATGGTAGAAATCATTCTAAATTTTACAGTAAATTACAGTTATTTATTTATTAATTAAACAATGTGCAAAATAAAGGTTGTAAATTTAGATTTAATGCAGAAGTCACAATATTATAAACTGTAAAAATATTTTAAAAATTACTGAAAAAACAGTAACTGTGGTTGCTTTATGGTTAAAAAAATTGGTAGAAATCATAAAGGAAATGTTCAAAATATCATGGTAAATTACTGTATGTCAAACATTATTAATTAAGCAATGTACAAAATACGCATTGCAGATTTTGATGTCATCAGAGGTGACAATATTAAAATACAGTGAAAAATGACAACTGTGGTTGCTTTACCATTAAAAATAAAGTAGAAACAGTAAAAGAATGTTCACAATTTTACAGGAAACTACTGTGTTTCATTAATTATTAAACAATTTGCTAAATAATGACAGTTAACTGTGATTTTAAGCAGAAGTAACAATTTTAAAATACATTTTAAAAACTGTCAAATTTACTGTAAAAAACAGCAACTGCATTTGCTTTTATCGTAAAAAAAATTGGGAGAAATCAAAAAAGAAATTATCAATTTTTCATTAATTGATTAAAATGTATTAAATGTGCTAAATAAAGAAGATCAATTTAGATTTCACACAGAAGTACAACAATAACTGTAAAATTTACTACAAATAAAAATGACAATTGCTGTTTCTTTACCATTAAAATATGCTGTAAACTGTAAAATTATGTTAAAAATTTTACGGCAAATAACTCATTCATTATTACACAATGTGCAAAATGAAGATTGTACAGTTTGATCTTAGGCAAAATAACAATTTTAAACTACTGTAAAGAAAAAATCTGTAAAATATACTGTAAAAAATGGCAGCTACGGTTGCTTAACCGTTAAAAATATGGTAGAAACCACAAAAAGTATTAGAATTAGGATTAGAATTATTTAATTGATTCATTTTCTTGTCGGCTTAGTCCCTTTATTAATTGGGGGTCGCCACAGCGGAATGAACTGCCAACTTATCCAGCAAGTTTTTACGCAGCGGATGCCCTTTCAGCCGCAACCCATCTCTGGGAAACAGCCACACACACATATACACTATGGACAATTTAGCCTACCCAATTCACCTGTACCATATGTCTTTGGACTGTGGGGGAAATCGGAGCACCCGGAGGAAACCTACGCGAAGGCAGGGAGAACATGCAAACTCCACATGGAAACACCAACTGAGCTGAGGTTTGAACCAGCGACCTTCTTGCTGTGAGGCAACAGCACTACCTACTGCGCCACTGCCTCGCCCAGGATTAGAATATATATATATTTACTATATATATATATATATATATATATATATATATATATATATATATATATATAGTAAATTAATTATTATATTTATTTTAATTAATTATTAACATTTTTACGGAAAAAAAAAGATTGTACATTTTGTGGCACGTAGAAGTAACAAGGTAATACTGTAAACAAAATATATAAAACTCACAGTGAAAAATGGCAGCTATGGTTTTACCTTTAAAAAATATGTAAAATGATCCTTACAATTTTACAGTAAACTACCATATTTCATTCATTAAACAATGTAAAAAAATAAAGACCATAAATTTAGTTTCATGCATAAGTAACATTATTAAAACACTGTTAACAAAAACATACTGTAAAAAATTACAGCTGTGGTTGCTTTACCATTAAAAATGGTAAAAACTATCAAATAATGCTCTAAATTTTATGGTAAACTACTG